TACTAGCAGTATCATTCCACAGCAACTGCAACCAATTGAATTCAGAGCAACATCTGTGATCAGATGAAAGCTATTCACTCTGATTTTTCAGGCAGGGACAGATAAAACACACTAGTAAGTTTCACAAATCCCCCTCCCCACTGGTGGTTGTTCTCTGAAGAACCAGAACATCTGCTGTCTATTTTTTACTCTCAGCTTTCTCAAGCACTCACCCAATAGCCCAAATTACCACAGCAAGCAGAAAGGCAATCCTTTATTAAATCCATCTGGAAACTCATTCCACCAGAAAACAGAATACTTACCGCGCTGTTGGCAAAAGTCCCCACACCTCTGGGCCAGGGGGATGTAAGCAGTATATCCACACCTTTGAAGTCTGGGGTTGATAACAAAGACGTTTTTAATTCTTCCACATCCTTGGCGCTAAAACTGTAGGCAGGAGCTGGCTCATCCTGATACTCAATACCGCTCAGGTACACGATCTGCAGTCCAGAAGCACCACTGTAAAGACCTCGACGGCCTGCATTAATACACAGGCATGCACTTCAGATGTGACATTGCAAGTAATCTCTTAGTCGCATCATAGACAGAAGACCAAATTCAGTAATCCTGCCTTACTTCTACTGAAACTATCCTTACAGACAGCTCATTTTTTGTGCCCATAAACTGCAGCAAAGACATGTTTTAGCACAGTGGCTGGAACCCTGCCTACAGTGAAGCAGCTGTTCAGACAACCCCTAGTCTTCTCTCTTTGCTGCTATCTTGCTTCCCAAAAATCAAACCATATCAAAAGCTCAGTATGAAGGCTGAGAAAAAAAAGCCAATTGCAAGTGCCTTTACTTGTTACATTTTTTGTCAGGTGGCATTCTAGAAAGAAACTATTTTTTCTTTTTAGCTTTGCTACAGCTTCATTACCTTTGAAGATGACACTTCTTACCTCTGCTATTCCAGTACAGCCTCAGAGCATAGCAAAAATCACACTTCAAGCAGGAAACCTTCCCCATACAAAGATGGGCATGCTATGGGAACACGATATTCTCAAAGAACAGGCTCTTTCAACCGCTATTCCTTTTGGTTAGCAAGTTCAGTGTTAGAAAACAACAAAAAAAGCAAGGTTCTCTTTCACATTTTACACAGCAGATTGTATCAGCCTTTCAGTATAAACTCCAGTCTGAACCTTGGAACAAGAAATGCCACCTTAAAATTTCCAGAAAAAGGAAGGGCTTTGAAGTGGGAAGATCAGAAGACATTCATGAAAGCACCACTGGGCAAATGCACATTCCCTATCACAAATCATCTGCAGCCTTACCTAAATAAGTGATGTTCTCAGCTAATTCACAGCCACTGATGTCTGGAAAATAGCTCACGGTCTCTTGGTTATTAGCACCAAGCACATAGGTTGGAATTGGAGCTGAGGAAGAAAATCACATGCACTCACTCTGCTTTAATTCAAGTACATTAGCACAAGTTCAGTCCACATTTACTAGGAACTACAGCAGGTCCCATCCATTCCTACAGACCCCAACACCACTCCTTTGCAAAGCACCGAGGAGCAATAAGCACGGAAGAAACCTTCCTTCAAAATAAGTCCCCAAGCCTGCTATTTCCACAGATGCATGTAGCACCAGCAGAGGATAACCTCTGCTTCAACTACAATTCACTCCACTGCCTACATAAAAAGATCAGCTCTGAAATGACCCATAGCCCTAAAAACACAGTTCTTCCCTAGGACAATGCTAAGTAAACACCAGAGCACAGGGACACCTGGTGATTCAGTTTAAGCTGATCTAAATCCATATGGCTATCGAAAAACTGCAAACCACTGATGTTTTAGGGGAAAAGTTCAAGTTCATCAGCTCTTTTATTCACTTGGCAGAAGAATTTGCTGCATAACTTCACCTAGAACTGGTGGATATAATTAAAAAAGCAATGGGAAGTACCAGTTTTAATTTCTCTGTGTCTAGGTGATCAATAAAAATTTGACTTCTCCAAAGAGCATAGGTCAAGTCTTTTCAACCTATTAAAAGTTAGAAAAAGCAATGACCAATCTCAGAGACACCTCCTGTAGATTTCAAGGCAGACCAGTATACCAGTAAGGTGGTCAACAGTTCACCTGGTCAGCAGATGCAAAGTTTTTCGCTGAATAAAAAACAGTAATAGTTTCCTATTTAAGAAGGGAAAGGAACAACAATACAGCAGCTCTGCTACAGCTGTTGTTAGACCGTTGCTTGAAGTTCCAGCCCCCACAGTCAGAAGATACAGGAGCTTGCTTTCAATCACAGAGCAGCGTTTGAAAACCTTATGAATGGCTTAAAACCAGAATGAAGTGACATGAATCTTGTTTGTATCTATGTGCGTAGAGGTGAGGTTATAAGCTACAGATTTTTCTAACAGTTCAAAGGGTAAAGACAATTCAAGTGAGGATGAGCAAAAATGCATCCGCCCAGGGAAGACTTTGCTGTTAACACCCACTCTTCTCCCTGCATGCACAGGTGAGCTTCCTTGGGGAGTGAAGTTTAAGCCAGTAACAATTCTGCTTATAGTCTCATAGCAACAGGAACACAAGGCAGCATGCCTCACTACAGTAAGTCCTCGGCCACAAGCAGCAAATGGGACAATCTTTGTCCAGACAGCTCACACAGACGCACAAACAATCAGGGGATAACTGGGGAGTGATGTGCCAGCAGAGAAGAAACGGAAACCAAGAGTCCCAGCTCCTTTCTGGTTTGCCTCATGCCAGGGGCGAGAGCCAGAGTAGCACTGAAGAGGACAGAGGAATACTACAAATGCTCGTGAGGTAGCATCTCCCTTATAAGAGGGGTGTGGAAAGAGGCAGAGAAACCCACATAGGACTTTTTATATCCATGGCTGGGCAAATGTCTTCAGCACACAGCCTGTGATGATCAAGGATGAATGAGCAAACCCTGCTCCTCTGGAAAGCATTCTAATCTCCGTGGCTGAAGAACGGAGATGCTCAGCCCACCAGCACCTCTGCTTTCCTCTTTCTCCTTGGGCCTGAATGCAGGGGGGGGAAGGACAGCAGTGCTACACACTGCAGAGAGGTCTGTGGTGGAAGTATGAAGGTGGGTGTGCACAGGGAATGACTGAGAATTTCTGTGACAGAAGCACCACAAGTGGCAGAAGAAGGGCTACACACTGGCAGGTGTGCTGGGATCCCATGGCCTGCTGACTGAAGCGCTGTAAACATCTATGTACAGCTTCTAAGGCTACAAGGGTAAAGAAAACAAGGACTGCCCCAGATGGCAGCCAGCAGGCTAAAACTGTAAGGAGGTGGGAAACAGGAAAGGAGGAACAGAAGCAGAGCCGCAGGACATCCAAGCAAGGAGAGAGAAGACCCTGACACCAGTTAGCAACATCTTGTGTCTCCCCTATGACTGTGAACAGCACTAGCCAGATGACCCAGGCGCAGGCCTCGATGCCCAATTTGTGGGCAGGCAGCTTGGACACATGCATCTTTGTGCTTCCGAGTCCGAGCGCATGACAGAAATGAGTTTTGTTTTAAAACAAACCCATCTTTCCCTCCTATGTGGAGTTCTCCTACGTGAGTTTAACTGGTTGAACACTACACCATTTAACTGTGACTTCTGAATACAAAAGCACACTGTGATGAGACAGTGAAGTGGGTCGCGAAATAGTGCAATCACCAGCACAATGCGACGATGCCTTCCTTACCTTTCTTGGCCCCCGCGCGATACTCTGCCCATTCCGTCTCTGAAGTTGAGCCAAAAAAATTCCCAACGCACAAAAGCATCTAAAAACATCAGATAAAGTAAGAGTTGCCATTTGACACAACTTTTTCACCAATTTGCTGTATTGTCACCGCAGTGTGAGACGCGTCTCTTCGGCAGCATTTTGTTTGGTACGGTAAAGAGGTTCCTCCGTGTTCATCTGCCGCAGGCATCAACTGCGTAACAGCAACGTTAACGGGTACAAACGCGGTGAGCAGACCGCTGCTCTTGCACCGCATTCTCTGCCCGCGGGTCACGGCTCCTCCCCACGCTTTGGTGCTGGACACGAGGGCCTGGGGGGTGCAAAGCCCCCCCGGCCGGCCCGCT